ATTATTTGATTGGACCTGGCACAAAGACAAATACAATGGTGATTAACAACAGATCTCGTTGTCGCGTAATATCAAGATAACAGCAAAAGATATTCCTTTCTAACCTTCTGTTAATGTAGAGGAGAACATATTTGGCGATATCTAATGCATAAATTATTGGTGCTGTCTTCATACTGATTAAACTACCTTGCGAAAGATTGATGGAACATCTATTGCGCTAGATAGTTGTACTGAAGTGTTGATACCTACTGAAGAAAGGTGCTCTTCTGCGATCTATGATCCGGCGCTAAGCGCAAATATAAGAACTTCGGTATTGCACATTCCATCTAATGTACTTTTAGCACTGAAGATTTCATATACATCTTTTCATGATTTGCACATCTTGATTTGCTGGACATGATTTTTGCGAAATATTTTTGATATTTCTCGACTATCACTTGATTTCCCCTTGAAAATAGGAAGCTAAATAAGTGCTGTTTTATTTTCCATGGAGAGGTCAACATTGGAATTGTGTTCTTCTAACTGTTTACAAAGAGCGATGACGTCTTGGGTAATATAGTTGACCTATACAGGTCAGCAAATCTGCATATACTCGATCCAGTATAGGAGCTCTCTATCGAACTTGAGACCACCTTGTTAGAAGTGGGTATGTAGGCGCAGAAGAATCACGGCGATGTAGTGTGCGAATAGTGACATAATCCGTCAGAATTCTTTTTATCTGACCGCCACTTGCAGTGGTATGATCTTGTAATATACCCAATAATGTAGAGTGCTGTGCAAAGACATTTGCGTCAGCCGTGATTTGAACCCAGACGTCACTTTTTCGGGGAGTGTATGCTAACAGTTGCACCTCGTTTTGCACAGCACTCTTTATACGCTACAAGGCGTACCTGACAACAGCCAACCGCCGACGGTCTGGCGGGACAGCCGCTATCGGCATTGAACCCACTTGTGCTGACAGGAATTGGGTATTCATAATTAATCAGAATTCTCTTTATCTGACCCCCACTTGCGGTGGTATGATCTTGTAATAATCTTCGAATCCCGGCTAACGCAAATGTTTTTGCACAGCACTTCACATTAGTGAGAGAATCAGTCATGTGCTACCTTTCTCGAAAAATGCATCGGAATAGGGTGACAATGAAACAGTCGAATCACATTATTGCAACAGCAACGATGATAGAAGAATCGTCACCAACGATATTTCACTATTAAAGATAGCCACCACTATCAATGGGTTCACCTTCACTATTCTCCTTCAATAGAATCTTAGAGCTAAAGCAGTTACGAGATGTCATCTTTGGCGATGAATCTTCATAGATAGATCCAGGTTCTTAGATTATCAATCACACACAATCATAATGTTTGAGGAGAAATCGCTTGATGAACAGGACTACCGACCGACTGCAACATTTTTCATCGAAATGTGCAGGTGTTAAACGCACTTCTTCACTTTATAATGAGCTGTCGTACTCTAACACTGAGTAGCGTTTATATCCCAAATTGATCAAATGCTGTCAGTTCTTTAGACTCGGTTCTGGCATGAAAATCTCGGATATCCTTACTATTGGGAGGTGATTATTGAACCCCTGACGACGATACGGCGTCTTTCAAGCGTTACCACGCCGTCTCCGCGACGAGCCAGCGGCAACCATTTTCTATCATCATGCACTGCAATAATGCAACTGTTGCATAATATTTGTTTCTTTCTTCTTAATCTATATTTTCGTAGTCATTCATTTGATAGTTTGAGTATTGCGATTTTTACCCAGTTTCTTGTGAAAAGAACTTCATAGCACATTCTAGTGTTGAAAAAGAAGTATCCTTTTGCAATCAAACTTTATTTTTTTTCAATTTCACAGCTGATATTTCGGCATTAATTGATGATATTTTCATTCCAAGAAAACTTTGTTTGTGCGGAAAGATTGAATTCTACTAAAGAACTTCTACTGACTAATCTTGACAGAAATACTCCAGCTGTACTGAAATTTTCACTCTTTATTTTTTTTTTACGATTTATGAAGATTTCAGTTACGTTCTGTGGTATGTGCTTGTCTTTACTTTTTGCCCAACACAGCAATTTCACTAAACTGTTGGTCATCGTTCGATAGCTTGAGAAATGGAGTTTTAGCAGTGAGCTTGGCTTGTAAAAAGACCTTAGTGTGCGTAATGACTTGAAAGAGGACTAAGTTTAGCATTTGATCTAGATATTCCGTTTTCAGCTCTACACTGGTTTCTTTTGGTGTTAAATTACTTGGAAATTCAGAGGGTCCGTCCCCGCTAGTTGCGCTGCTCAGCACATATTCCTTTCGTTCCTTTGTCTTGCGATGGTCATCCATGGTGTGGTTCGTGCATGGCGACTGGTGCGAGTGTCATACCGTGATATGTAAAATATCCGTAGCTACGAGTACAGCTTATTAATTCTTGTAGCGAACACACCCGCCCGACGTGTAGGAGGTCGTCCTCGAGTAGGCGTAATTTGTCGTGAAATCCACTCTTCAGTTCGTTTCGTCCATCCGTCGTCTGATCTTCATAGTAAATGACCGGCCCACGTGTGCCTCACTATCGATGTGAGTCCTTCTGGATCACGACGATGAGATAAATTCTTGAGATCTGAGCTGCGCAAGCCGACTAGGTGTTGTCAAGTGCCAACCGATATTCAGAAGACATCGTTCAAGCGTACTATGAATCGCTCGCAGTGGTTTTGACGTGGTCGAAATATGAGCCCACACGTCCCTGGTCGTAACAGAGCGCTGGGAGGACTTTTCAATCAAAAAGGTGAGCACAGAGTTCGAGGTCCTCTAAGTGGTCGATGGCTTCCTCGAAAGGGCCCGAATGGAGTCCACGCTGCTCTCCTTCTTCTGTCAAGTGTCACCTTCATGTTATTGTCCATGTTCATTGAACCCCCGAAGTACACACACATACGAAGTGGTTTCTGCTATCAGAGAACCATCCATTTGGACTAGTTCATACTGCTTTTTTATAAACTGTGTTTTCGTTCTGTTTTTGCTTAGCCCCATCTCTTCGCCGCTTCGTTGAGTGCCTTGAACGTCATCTCTGCCTCATTGGTACTTTCTAAAAAAGATGAGTTTTTTTTTAATATTTGTTTTCAAAGTTCTTGCTACACAAACATTGAAAACTTGATTTCAGACAATTTATTCCGTTTATTTAGGATATATCACCTATTGGAGAAGCGTATTTTCGGCATACGGAATGACCACGTGTTCCAGAAACCTCTACTTCTTATTTGGAAGGGTATGCTTGGGTAAATGGCATGCATCTAGCCTTTACTGTGCAGTTCTATCGCCTATATTATGAGAACGTAACACAAAAATACATTTCCTACAATGTGCAGCTCGAAAAGAAATTTGTATAGAGAGGACTTCGGTATGCAGTAGAAGTATGTCTTGAAAGAGTTTAAATCCGTCACCTTGAAGATAAGATCTGCAGGAAAAGGTGCATATTACGATCCTGGCCCATAATTGCTTGTGCCAAAAAAATTGTTCAAAAATGAACAACTTTTTTATTGAACTACCACAATATCATCCGAGCAAGCCGCGCCCGCTGCCCCAATGCGCCGCCTGCCACGGGGGATTTCAGCGTCATTTTCAGGGGTCAACTTATTTCCATGCTATCCGTGCGCAGATGTATGTACTTATTCCGTGTGCAGTGCATATCCAAGTGTACCATCGTCTATGTATGCGTGTGTACGTCTGTATGTATGTACATATCTACGCAAACTTGCCTCTCGTTTTGCGCATTTTTGATTTCGGCCTAACATCATCCCCGGATCAACAGATAGGAAGCCCGGTCAAGGATCCATCGCCGAAATCCATTCTTTGGCAACGACACCGTGAAGACCTGAAAGCGCCCTTGCAAGATTACGTTAGGAAACCAAGGAATAATATATGCACGCCACAATATACCATTTGGAATATGTACTGGGCTCCGAACAACTAGTAATGACGGATCATCTATGTATCTAAGTAAGTAAGTAGCAGTTAAATATGTATTGCAGTAAAAGCAGATATTACCTATATTAGATCAATTTTACAAATTTTGAAGAAAAAGAGTCCTCAGAAAAATTTATCTGAGTGACGGAGACGTTTTGTTATCGCCTCTCAACTTCCATCAACGAAATTGGTCGTATCTCAAGTAGAGAATTTGGCGAAAAATAAATCTGCTTACAAGAAAAGGTTTATTCAATTAATAAGTTCAAAATTTTTTTACCAAGCTTCTGGAATACTGTAGAACAGGCTCACTATTTACTATTTTCTTCATTAGAAAAATTGTGAGAAAAATTGCCAAGCTTCTTTCAATGTCGATCATTTATCATCAACATTCCAACTCTGCTTTTTGTTGTCATAATTTTGATTCTGACTGTTTTTTGCTTGTATAATGAGGTCTTCTGCGAAAAAAACCCAAATGAAAAATGGGGTTTCTAGCATTCGACGAACGAGTTCTGAAGAGCGGCATAACTTCAAATGCATTTTCCTCAAAATAGCTTGCTAATATTCAAGTGCTCATCTTTTCTAAAGCCCCATATCACATATACGTTAAATACTCTTCACTTTTTCATTCATTTTATTCCTACGCAAATCTTGCGCGTAGATTCCATTTTTGCTCAAAGATTCTTGACAAATATTGTTGAATATGGCAAAGTTGATTGACCATAGAATTCTGAATCAATCGCGATAGGAAGCTTCCACATACTCATTACAAAGATTCAATGACCGTTGTTAATCGGGTAGACCTTGCCAGACGATCCTGAATCGACTTTCACAATGCCGTAAGGATGAGATCTCTAGTGGAGAAATAGTTGCTTCAACAGTGCTGCTATCCCACGTCATGTTATCGAACTTTCTTGTGTTCTCAAAAAAGACTCAAATCTGTCAGCATAAGTGGGTACAAAGTTCATAGCGACTACACATGCCATACCGATGACGGTTTGCCTGTTGACACATAAAGCGTTATAGCGTAAAAGAGTGGTGTCAAAACAGGCGTCGGTAGTGCAACTGTTTAGCACGCGTCCAGGATGGAGTGAAATGTGGGTTCGAATCCCAGCTGATGCAAATGTTTCTGCACAATACTCTTTATCATTGAGTATTAGCCGACGTTCGGTAATTTCACCATCTTCAAAGCCCATAGCTCTCTTCCAATGGTAATTCACTGAATCTGGAACATAATAGTATTCCTTCGAATCGCCCATCTTCGATGCAATATGGATAACTGTGTGCACAAGTGGAGGTGTGCGAAGTGATCCAGCAATCACGTGGTTGGTGGAAAGTCGGTTGTCGAAATTGCTTCAGATATCTTTGCTAGAAACATTGGCGAGGACGCTTGTTTGCAATAATGATGAATGTGGGGTGAAGGTTCAGTGGTTTTGCTGTTGTGATCCGCTGCCGATTTGTGTCTCGCAACGGACAAGAGAGAAGAGTTTAAATCCTTTATATGGATTTATACCAAAACAACCTATAATATACATGCATTACTAAAATGATAATATATAATAATATATATATATATGACCACGACATATTGTTATGCGAACATATGCGTAAGTCAATATGGGTGACCGACTGATGAGGAGTATCGAGGACAGTGTTATGTCAAGTGGTGTTATTGCAGCTGACGGTGATGATGTTATCGTAAGTGATGATGTTATCAAGTGATCATGTTATTGCATATGACATTGTTATTGCTTTTTGACATTGTTATGACAAGTGACAATGTTATTGTAATTGACGATGTTTCGTAATTGTCGAAGCATGACTAAGCGGCGGAGCCCATTTGGGAATACTATGTTCGCCCCCAAGTAGAACACCGACGGCGGGATCCAGTGGGTGAGTATATAGTGTTAGCAGTGGGGTCGCTAGTGATTAGATATGGGCAGAATCCCTAATCCGCGGTGATGGGCCGAGCATAGCCAAAGTGAGTTTGCTCCGCCACGGAAGTACTATGTTCCGCTCACAAATCTATAGAATTCATCTGAGTTGTATGAATGCAACCTTATGAAAGTAATTAGTTACAAGACAACGAGGTTGTTTAGAGAGAGCAATAATGGATCGACAATGTACTGAGGTGAGGTGGTCCGGGTGATGTCAGACGACCGTTCGGATGATGACCCGCGATCGAACTGACTGTTGAGGTTGGTGGCAGCTGGGTGCCGCCCTTGTCACTTGGACCATTTCTGTCTAAGGTCCTCGAACCTCTGCGATACCACTTGCTCTCTAAGTTCGTAGACCATTTGCGCTGCCTAAATTATCATGTAATTCCCGAAAAGATAGCAAAACTCCGTTGGGAGGTTTGCTATATTCCGGCCTCGCGAAAGGATCGTCTCTTATGCTCAATGTCCGTGGGTCTATGAGCTTGAACATCATGCCGTCTTTCATGTTCGAAGACGAGATGGCTGAATGAGAAGACGAGTTTTCCTGTAAGAGGATAGAGACCTGGAATTGACATTTAGGTGAGGCGTGTAACTAACGATCTACAGGGAGTTGTGAGAAAAGATGAAAAAAAACGAAAAATAATATCATTTGAAATGGTAAATTGTCTGGGAGCTAATTGTATTAGGTCCCAAGTGAGCCGGTCCTATTTACGCCACGACCGTTCGGGAGATTAACTACGAATAGCCAAGTTGAGGTTGTTTTATTAATTATTTATTTTTGGTTTAATTAAGAAAATGCAGTTAGACTTCGTAGTTGATAGGTTTCCTCGGACGGAAGTTATAGTTTCTGAATTGTGCTTCGGTCTCTTTTGACTTTTGCGTGGTTACTATGAACATGAGGTGCTGGAATCTCAATTGAAGAGGGTGCATCATATTTAAATGTGTTGGAAACAGCTTTCCAATTTTCTGGAAGTTCGCTTAGAAAGGAGGGTCCTTTCCACCAAGAATGCTGATTGAGTTCGGATCGATTAAGGCCGCGTGTGGCACAGTCTGCTGCGTTGTCATTTGTTGTCACGTGGTCGAAGACGATCCGTGGTGTCATTCTGTGTATGTGTTCGACGATTTTTTCTATTTCCGTAAGTCGGTTGATTATCAGACGTCCAACACTTGTTTGTGGCTTACGTCTAATCCAGCTAAGTGCTATTTCCGAATCGGAGAGAATAAAAATTTCGTGAACTCTCAGTGTCTTTTGAAGCTGTGTTAACACTGCGTTTATTAGTCTAAGTGCTAGAGTAAGGGCACTTAGTTCCATTTTCGGTATGGTCATGGGAGATTTTAGTGAAGGCAACTTGCTTTTTGCCATAAGAAGATTGACAGACTGTTCTGAACGTATATATATACATGTTGCCATTGCTTCAGAGCTAGCATCTGCAAAGGTTACTAGGCTATAGTTGTGAGTCTTCATACCTATGTAGCGTGGTAGGGCAATAGAGAATCCTTCTATTGCCGCCCAAATACCAGCCCATTTTAGTGTATCGTCGTCTGATAGCACTTGGTCCCATTTGTATTCCTGTGACCATAAGAAGCGTAAGAAGACTTTTAATTTATGAAGGAGGGGCACAAGGAATCCGAATGGATCGAATATAGAGGCGAGTGTACTGGTGACTACTCTCTTAGTAATTTTTTGGTGAATTTTCGTACCGCATGATAGCTGTATTTGATCAAAATGGATGTTCCAGGGGATCCCGAGTACTTTGGGCAGTTTCTCGCTTGATCTATCGGGCGCTGCTATTTGAGACATCAAGATTGCATCATTTGAATTGAACTCGCGAAGGTTCATGCTTAGCTCATTAAATATTTGCTTCAAACGTAAATAATTGCGAAATGATTCTTCGAGATTGTCAGCAGTTAAAATGACGTTATCAACGTATAAGTTATTCTTTATTTCCTCTACTAATGGGGAGTTTTCTTTGTACGTGGCAAGATGGTAATGAATTGTTGCGGCTAATAGAAAGGGTGATGAAATCAAACCAAAGGTTACTCTAGTAAAGCGAAGAATCTTAACGTTACTTGGGATGGGTGGTAACCTATGATTTCGAAGCCATAAACAACGTGTAGAATCACGGTCATCTTCATGGAGACGAATCTGCAAAAATGCTTTCTCAACATCCGCAGTGAGGGCTACTCTTCCAAATCTGAAACGAAGGAGGAGTCCGAATAGCTCCGGGAGAATAACGGGTCCACGATGCAATGCGTCGTTTAATGATGGTTGACCCTTGTAATGGGCAGATGCATCGTAAACTATTCTGAGCTTGGTGGTTGGCTTGTTAGGTGTTTGAACTGCTTGATGTGGTATGTAATGGACACGAGAATTGGGTGGAGTGTGTTTATCATAGACCTCTTCTAAGATATTTGATCTGATTTGTTCATTAAATATATCATTATAGCTGTCTAGCTGACTTTCGTTGTTTCTTAAGGATTTCCAAACGCTCGCTAGTCTATTGAATGCAATAATTTTGTTATCTGGTAATGAGGTACATGATTCTTTCCAAGGTAGTCGAACATAATATCCATCACTTCTTTTCTGGATAGTTTTATTGAAGTTATTCCAAATTTCTTGTTCGATTTGTTTCTTTTCTTCGTTTTCAGAATTTCCGAATTCTTGTGTTCCGGCATATTCTAAGGTGCAAAATCTTTCCCATTTGATTTTTTCTCTATCATTTTCTATGAAGGCCGTATTTACTTGAGCTTGTAGAGTCCAACTTTGCTCCCATAGTGCAATGTCGTCATACGTGTCATTATTGTCTGACATTTATTGTTCTATTTCTGACTGCTGCAGTCCTAGTAGTAGGTTGCGGTCTTTATGGAATGACTGCGACGTCTCCTGGGGTTTACCGGTCGGTAAGTATCCAAGAGTTGTTGGAAGTAAATAAAGACCTGATGGCAATTGGATAAGAGGGTTATCTGTTTTCATTAAAGTCCAGAGTTGATCACATCCGAGAAGGATGGAAGGTTGAATGGGTTGTTGATCTTGATTGATTTCAATTTGGATGTTATTTTCGCTTATGAACTCTAAATCTTCAAGAGTCATATTTGGCAATTGGATTGGCTTTGGAATATTGCTGTGGGTGTACAAATTTAGGGAAATTCTATTACCATTCTTGTCCCACGCGTCTATAGAGATCGTTTTTGACCAATGTTCTTGTACCGTCTGGGCGCCGAACGTGTTTAGGCGTAACTTAACTTGTCCATTTACTTGTGGATCTAATTCTTGCGCAAGTTTCTGGTCGATGAAAGAAAGTTCGGCGCCGGAATCGAATAAGACATGTATCTTTTGTAAGCGCTTTGACTGTGGATTTAGTACGGTGAGTTGTCCTGTGGGCAGGAATGCTGGACGCCCCATGGTCTTTGGTGGTGTGATGTCTTCATTTAGCGTTCGATAACCGATTACGTTTACGTTGGTCGAGTTAGTGGAGCCTTTTTGTTGATGTCCGCCATCCTTTTTGGGCTTTATGCTAGTTTTGGGGTTTTGATTAGGAGCGGTAGAAAGGCAGCACGAGGTGTGATGGGGTTTCTGGCAGTTGCGACAGAATGTCCCTCTGCACTGCGCTGTGGTATGTGTTGCAGATGCGCATATGTGACATCGCTTGCTATCTTTAAGGTACTGATATCTATCCTGCGGCGTTTTGTAACGATCGCATTGGAAAGGATAATGGTTGCCTCTACAATACATGCAACTGTACCTGGGAAACTGTGGTCTCCCCTGCTGGCTGGTGCTTTGTCTATGTACTTTCCTTTGCGTTTCGGGTGGAAATTTGGTCAAAACTTTGGTATACATATATTGACTGCTGGTATGCTCACCCTTTTGAGCTAACTGGGACAGTATGGCCTGTACGTTTTCGAATAATATTCTTTGGTCATTTATAGCGTTTGAACGAAGCGAAATTCTTTCTAACTTTTGAAGCAGTTGGGCAATAAGCGCTTCTGGGTTTGCGTATTTGGAGGTGAGAGCATGGATGGCCTTTTGATAGTTATCACTGGTGATTTGGAACTTTTTGATGGCCAGAAGGGGTTCCCCCTTCAAAGAGTTAATCAAATAGTTGAACTTTTGAAGGTCTGAGACATTTTGTGAATGTACGTTTGAATCGTAGAGTTCCCAAAAATTGTCCCATTCCCATATGTCAC